CACAACTACCGAGAAGGAGTGTCTCGCTCTCGTGTGGGCTGTTCGGAAATTCAAGGCTTATCTCGAAGGCTACCACTTCATTGCGATAACCGACCATGTCGCCCTAAAATGGCTGCTTAAGCTCAGTGAGCCTAGTGGGCGCCTGGCTCGGTGGGTTATGGAGTTGCAGCAATTCGACTTCGAGATAAGGTACCGCAAGGGGACAGCGAACAGAGTGGCCGACGCCCTGTCTCGTCAGCCGGTCCCTGAAGTGCCCTTCTCGTCTGGTGAACCCGATCAACCTACGTTTGAGGTCGGAGTTTTAACCAGACGCGGCGCTAGGAAACAGTTGCGGTTACGACGCCTAACCGATGCTGAAGGTGACGAACCTTCACTCGGTGACGATCCGGCGGGTGACGTTATCGATCACGAAGCTCCTGGTCCGACGCAGCAGGAGACTGACGACCCATCTTCCGACGTGGACAACGATGGTAACCCGCCGGGCAGCCACGGTGCTTGGTATGACCGCCTTCGCAATCGGGTCAGCAAACACCCTGGGCGATACTCGAGATACCAGCTTCGCGACGGTAAGCTGTATCGTGCTGTCTCGAGGAAGGATCGACCTACGACATGGAGGGTGTGTGTGCCAAGCGACCAAGTATCCGTGGTGCTGCACGAAAACCACGACACGGCTACGGCAGGACATCTTGGGGTGAAGAAAACGTTAGCCCGAGTTGGTGGGGAGTACTTTTGGCCTAACTGGCGTCGTGAGGTGAAGGCCTATGTACGGTCTTGCGCCCAATGCCAGGCCTATAAAGTACCCCAAACGAAACCAGCTGGGAAAATGTACTTCCGACAACCCCAAGGACCGTGGTACGCAGTGTCTGCTGACCTGGTAGGCCCATTGCCTAGATCACAGCGGGGTCAGCGATTTCTGCTCGTGGTGCAGGACACCTTCAGCAAATGGACGGAACTCGCCTCCATTGCGTCTGCAACCGCAAAGAATGTGGTGACGAAGCTGAAGGCTATCCTTCTTCGACATGGAGCTCCGGATGTGTTGATTACGGACAACGGCACGCAGTTCGTCGGTAAACTGGTTCGAGAGTTAGCTGCTGAGTGGGGCATCACGCTACAGACGACGGCCCCCTACAGCCCACAGTCAAACCCAGTCGAGAGGCAGAACCGGGTGGTGAAGACTATGATTGCGCAGTTCGTGAAAGGCAACCATAGGTCTTGGGACAACCACCTGGTGGAGTTTCAGTACGCCCTCAACACAGCTGTCCACGACTCTACTGGATTCACTCCTGCGATGCTGTGTTTCGGACGCGAATTGAAGCCTCCCTGTGCCGTCCGTGGCCTTTCGTTTGAGGTGTCTGAAACACCCCAAGGTCCCTCGTTAAGTGAGGCCCATCGCAAACGACTAGATGAGTTTCAGCGTCTGATCACGCAGACACACAAGAACCTCAAGGCTGCCTACGAGAGGCAATCGACCTACTATAACCTCCGTCGTAGGGAGGTGACTCACGAAGTTGGCGCGCAGGTGATGAGAAGACTTCACATCCTGTCTTCCGCTGCGGACGCCATCGTAGGGAAATTAGCACCAAAATATCATGGCCCCTGCATTGTGGTCGGTCGTCGAGGTGCTAATCTCTTCGAGGTACGAGATGAGGATTCTGCTGCGGTGCACGTCGTGCACGTGAAAGACTTAAAACCTTTCTGTGCACGTGACTAATATGCAAGGATCCCGCAACCCCAGCAACGTATTGCGATCCGTTTGTTCGTCAGTCCTTTCAGCCACGTCAAGCTGCCGACAAGCAGCCATAGATAACCCTCGTCTGGGGGGTGACGTATCATCGTGAGAAGCTCTTCGCCGCACGTCCGAGACCCCGAGCCTGCCGTACTACCCTACCTTCGTAAACCCCACGCCTACTCTTCACCTTTGGTTACTTTTCGCCCCGATTCGTTTTCGCCTAGACCTCTGAGGCAACTCGGCCTCAGACGGTCTACATCATTTGTAACTTCGTCCATTTTTCGTCGTCAACACCCTGGAGCAGTCGGACCAACGGGGTCCGGCATCGGCTTCTGTTAACTTTTCCTGCCCACGATCCTACTGATGCGTCATCTGCAGGAAAGTTCAACAGCTTTTTTTCTTTTTCTCGCTTTTCTTTTTTTTCGTTCCGAAGTGTGGAGGGGGTGTAACGGTTCAAATGTGTAGGGGGTAAAATAACGGCTAAACCACGAACTTTAAACAGCTAAACATAAGCTGTTGAGTAAGCCTAGTCGCGACACTAAACTGACATCGTACCTAACCTCAAATACCAAGACCGCAGACGACGTTGGTGTCAGTTTGGTTGTTTGGGTTGTTCGACTGCGTCTGAGGGCGGGCTACGGGAGAGAATAATGAGCAGCTGATCCACCTTGTGAGCGAGGCAGCTATAAAGCCTGTTAGAGCTGCCATGCGCCTGCCTTCGCTGCCAGTTTTTTTTTTGTTTCGGTAACTCGTTGACCAATCAGGAATCGTTTTAACTTTCGTCTCGATTCTGAGACGAAGGTGAAGTAAGAAGAAGTTTTGTGAAGTTTTGGTCATTCGTAATCCCGGCTTTTCGTAAGTTTGTTTCGTTTTTGGTTCGCTCTCGAAAATTCGTGCAAGTTTAAGTTCGTATCGCAAGCTCTGAAAGCTTAAGTTCGTACGTATTGTTTCGTAGTGAATATTTTGATATAATTTCGTCATCGGGTAAGTTTTGTAACTAACTTACAGATTATTGTATATTATTTGACCAGTTTTCGTGTACTTAACTTGGTTGAACTTGAAGGCTAGGCCTGATTCGCAGACCTAGTCATACGCCTTAACCAACAATTTGAGTAAAGTACTGCAGTTGGTGAAATATATTTTCAATTACGTTTCATAATCCGTCTTGGGACTTTCTTTTTTAATTCTGAAAACCCCTTTTTTAAAGTTCCCCAGACGTACCAAAGTCTGTTCCAGCAGACAGGTTTCTGCTGGACAAGTTCTGTCGAAGTTGGTCTAAGTTGAACACGTGAGGAAGTTAAAGTTTTAGTTTTTCGTTTTTGGCTCAAGGAGCAGTTTCACCTTTTTAGTTTCGTTTTTTTTTTGTTCGTTCCTCACCTGGATCACTTAGGCTAACTTGTTTTCTTATCATTTTAGTAAATTCAGACTCTGTGGGAGTTAGGCTAGGTTAGGCCTATCTTGTACTAACCTTGTTTGTTTCAGGGTGACGACGTAACTCCGTAGGTAAGCGGAGTGCCTACTTAGCTTACTTGTTGATTTGTTAAGTTAGCTAGTAGTGTGTCATTTAGATATTTGCCCACAGAGTCAAGTCAAAATTATTTATTTCCCCACAAGCCCTAGGCTAGAGTGGTGATTTCGAGTAGGGTGTTTAGTAACCCGCAACGTTCGTCTCGAGCTCTGACAACCAGGGCTATCAAAGTTAGGCTATCCGAATCACTATCGACTCCTGGGAAACTCCCCGCGACCAGACTAGGGCGAATCCTGGGATCTCGTTTTCTTACCGGTGGCGTAATTTACCTCTTGTCGTCCGCCAGGAAAATTACGTCACAAGATCAAGAATTAAAATTTTAAGACTCTAATAATGTCTTATTTGGGTTTTATTATCATTCATTACGTTTTCTGAAATCCTAGACGATAGTAACGTAGCCAGGATTTCAAAATAGGGGGTCCACCGACCGGGGGTCCGGGTAAAAGGGGGGTCCGGGATAATTTTTAAAAATATAGGCCCTAAAACGGTCTTTTTTAGCTCTCTTGGCATTGAAAATAATCAACCCCAACGTCAATACAGTATAATTATATAATTTTACATTTAATTTAACAAAAAATATTATATTTAAGACCGGAAGGGGGGGGGTCCGGACCCCCAGGACCATACTTTTCAGATACTTCAAGTATCTGAAACAAACAAAGTTTTGTATTATAACTTAATCCTGGATTGTTTTAGTATTGGCAAGCAGAGTTATAGGGGAAATGCATTGATTCAAGATAACTAAAGCATACGGTTTTTGTGCATATAACAAAGCCATACAGCTATATTCTAATTTCCACCCTTCTCTTTCCTTGTCTTGCCAAAACCAACCCTCGTGTGTATTCCTTTTTGACTTAGACTTAATAATACGTGTATGAAACTTAAGCCAATTGAACTTCGAGAGTGTTCTCAACGCTAAAATTGAGAAATTAAAAGGATTTCGTAAAACCACATTGGCTTGTCATAATATTTACAAGAGTTAGTAGGCCTAAGTTGTGGTTTGACGAGAGTACAATATTGTTTTACAGTGTTCAAAGGAAAACTAATCTTTCAAAGTATCATAATCATTGTGTTTAACACAATCGGTTTCTTACAAAATTATTCTACCTATCCAAATATCCATTGAGTTAATATTACTTTTCTACCAGCTTCTATATAGCAGCAACATTGGCCACTTCCTTTACACAAGGCCTCGTAGGTCCGCGTGGCATTTGGCATCTCAGATGCCATTTGGCACTAACGCCGACTCATGGATAGATGCCAGGTGTCGATCGATTTATCAATCGATAAAACACGCAAGATCTTCTATATTGTCCCATCACTGACTCTTGATCCGGGCTTTGGCCAAGATACAAAAAGATTTCCCGGCTATATTGTTGGAATTCGTGCTCTATATTCAGCCGAAAGAATTGTCGGCACTGACATTTGTAAGTTAATCGATCTTGAGTGTAGGACAAGGATTGACTGAGGAATCTAAAAACCAAGGAGTCATAATAGAAAAGAAAAAGCTGTGATTAAAAACAGTCAATGGAACTTTTGCCTGGTAAAATTAGAAAGTAGATTCCTTCAAACCAATAATTTATCTCCAAACCACAGTTGAGTGCTTCTTCAGCCAAACAAAAGTTTTGATAAGAATTTTAGACACCTTTAGAATTCGCTTGTGTTTATTCCTCTTAAAATATTATGATAGAATTTCGTAATCACAAAAAGGCCTAACTCCACTATTCTTGACTTGTTCTACAGGTTACCAAGGAAGGTGAAGTCCTGCCGTTCTGCCAAACGGAACTGAAGGTCGGTGGGGATGGAGAGGAAGATAAAATCTTCTTCATCTGGCCTACCACGATAGTCCACAAGATCACGTCGTCATCGCCTCTGTACGAGCTGTCTGCAGCCGACATGCTCAGGGAGAGGTTCGAGATTGTTGTCATTCTGGAGGGTAAGTATTGTTGAGGATGAAACAGAAAAGAGGAGGGAGAGAAGAAAAAAGTTCCATATTTTTTTAAATCTCATTCGTAGGCTACAATTATTCAAGTTTAAAACAAGTTAATTTCTCATAACATATTCCACATCAAACTACTTCCTTTGTTCCCTAAATATCTCATAACCTTTTCTAAGTCTGATGTGTCGATTTATTATTACTATTGCAAGGTTTAGATCGGACGCAGTCAATGAGCTTGAAATTAAACTGGAGGTAGCTCTGGAAGGGCAACTCTGCTAGAAAATCGAGTAATTTTGTTAGGTTAGTAACAAACTGGGGGAATCAACTCATTTATTCCCTAATATGCTACTGATATACTAGGTACAATCATTGAGTATACACCAACAGTACAATGTACTTTATCCTCATCCCCCAGCACAAATGGCAGCCAACGTCTCGTAGTTCTCCCATTCAGTGGTTACCTCCAGTTGTATCTCTAATTCAGTGGATAGAGATTTCCAATATAAAGAAAATCCTTCTAACATAAAAGGAATATTCAACTTTATGTAAGTTAGTACATCTTAAGTTTAAGGTGTGCATCGTACCATTGGGTCACACAATTATTGCAAAAATAACCATTTGTGACTTAGATTTGAACTGGACCTTTAAGAGTTTAAGACTATGGTCTCACCCCTGGTTTTCACTTATATCATATATCTTTTTATTTGGTGGCATCTGATAGTCCAATAAGATCATCATTAATAGACTCAATGACAAACAGCTTAGAACCAATACCGGTCAGGATGAATCCAGAGTCCTTCACTTTACATACAATCGTTAACATGATCAACCCCCATCTCTTTCACTCACCCCCGCCTTACACTTCTAGGGGTGATAGAGTCAACGGGGATGACGACGCAGGCGAGATCCTCCTACCTCCCCAGTGAGATCCTCTGGGGACATCGCTTCCAGACACTGGTGTCCTTCAAGAAGGAGACGGGTGAGCACGAGGTGGACTATAGTCTGTTCAACGACACTTACGAGGTGGACACACCACTCTGTAGTGCGTCGGAACTGGACAACCTGGCCAGACAGAACAGACCAGGTAGGTTGAGGGATGCCGCGATTGGATACCAACTTCTACACGTTTTAATATACTCTGTATGATGAAACCTTTCTCCTGACCGTCTCCTGGAGACTTTACAGTGTTAAAAGGCCGGGGGACCAGCGCTCAGATACACCGGCATTTTATTACTAAGACACACCATTACTTAAATGAATTTTTCAATAGGCTATTTTTACAGAAAGTTTTAGCCTGATGAAGGTAAGTAAATCGATAATTCTTTATATTATACAGACCTGAAACCAAAATATATGAAATATTGTTAGTTAAGTATATTTTTCAGTTAATAAATTTTTCAAACAATATATTATCCAAGTCATACATAAACAAATCTCATGATTCTGTGCTTATACAAAATAGCAAAATTGCGCATGGGCCTCTCGCGTCGTTTATTGTTAATATATTTTCACACTGCTAATATTTTTATCACTACACATTGTGTAATTTTTACTACCCAGTCTCTGTGATCTTTCATAGCACCAACTCTGTGTTATTTTATTGCTAAGAAATTCCATTGTTTTGCAACTTAGCTTTTGATGTGCGTTGTTTATTGTTCCAACAGTGCGTTACTTCATGGCGTTACTCATACTAATCTTTTAGTATTTTACACATGTTGTATGGTAATGAATTGCCACATGAAATTTTCAGCGTCTTGTACCATCTTATTGGAGTCTAGTAAAGTATATTTATTATATTACAATTTTATTAGGTGTGTTTGACTGTGTACTTAATGTCATTGGAATCGTTCAAATACTGCTAAGAAATGAACACTTCTTATCTTTAACAATTTTTATTTTACATATTTTAGTCCTAATCATGCGAGTTAAATACTTTATAAAGTGTAGTTCACATTTTATCTTCATTCTTGTATGCAAGTGCAATAAAAATAAAAATATTGCGTGATAGTTGTATTATACGAGGTTAGTTTGCATTCTATTCTTTTAAATCACAGTATAAATAAATACTTACACTACAGTTTGATTTCTTAAATGGAATGGTGGAATCAAAAGTTTTATGTTAGGTCAAAAATCTCGTAGCACTTCCTGTGACTTTGGCTTAGTTATTATTCATAAGCATAGGTTCTATTATATTAAATATGCAAAATGTATGTAAAACGAATAGAAAGATTCTTGATAACTTAACGATAACATTTTTGACACGACTTACACTTATATACCATGAATGAAAGAAAATGCCTTAATTTGTTTGAGTTTCTCTGATAAATCAGATGGTCATAACAACTAATATCAACTTAAAACTTTAAACACAACCTGATACTATTATACACAATTAATACCCTTATAGCTATAGATTTGGTTCAGAACTGTTTTAATAGCAAATACCGTATTATATTATTTAAACTATTAAACACTAACGTATCAAGGTTTTATTACTTAATCACTACAGACCTCTTACTTGAAAAATTATAACTTATCACATTTATTTTTCAAATTATTAGCCATGGTATTGTTATGTAATCAAATTATGTATTACTGGACCTAAAACACTTCCTAAGGTAAAAATTTAACTGATAAAAAAACGTTTACTTTACAGAAAGTCAAACCCAACCATACGAAATTGTATTCATAATACAGACAAACGAATACTTAGTGACATGAATAGTGTGAAACTGATCAATGTTAATATTATTCATTGGAACCTGCAGCCTTGCCCCCCCCCAACACCCCCCCTCCCCCCATCTACATAAAGAGTTAGTCTATTTGACACGTGATTAAATACTACGCAAACCAAGCACTAAATACAAATTGAATGTTTGAAGCAGAATTATAATGTACCAATGCTGATGAAACTTTTAGACTGTTTTTATTATAATGGTGTTTTATTTGCTTCGCAGTAATTAGTAAATGCACATAAATTTACATGAAACGTTTAAAGCAGAATTCATAACGTTGTCTTTATCTGTTTTAAACAGGGTGTCCCGTAAGTAATTACAATTTAGGAATATGGTTGATGGGTCAAAATGAAAACAAGGCCAACATTTTACCCAAAAATGCCTTGCTAGTGAATTATCCGCCATTTAGGTTTGTGTGTTTTAAATTTATATAGGCCTAAAAAAAGATATTTATGATATCTTTATGAGATTTCGTAACCATTTTAAGTAAAAAAAAAAAAACTATTTCGGAAAAATAATCTTTAAAAACAGTTTTTTGTTTCAAAAATAAATTTTTTTAGAAAATTTTTTGAAATTAAATTAAAATAAAATGGCTGATTGTATAAAAAATGCCAAGGTCACTTCAATATAGCATTTGAAATTCCCTATCAAACGACACCAAGTTCAAAAACTTGCAACAAAAATAGTCGAATCCACCTCATTTTGCACCTTAGGCCCCGTTTATGCACCAAGTGCGGGAGCGGTGCGATAGCGGGCCCGCTCCCGCTGTAAATGAGTCTGTTTATGCACGAAGAGCGATAGCGGTAGCGGTTGGTCAAAGGAGAATGGAAGGGGGACACAGTCTTGCCAACTCAAACTCTGCCAAATAATTCACACAACTATTTGTCCTAAGTGCACGTGCGCGTGGGTCAAGTTGGCAACCCTGGCTTCAGCCCAAGCAACCGCTGCGATTCCTAACTACACAGCGGGCGAATTAGAAATCGCAGCGGGAGGTCAACCGCTATCGCTATCGCTCTTGGTGCATAAACAGCCCCATTTAACTCAATGGTGTTAGAAATTGCTCCCGCTGTCGCTACCGCTACCGCACTTGGTGCATAAACGGGGCCTTAAAGGCCATGTCACACCGACATCCGCCGCTCCCGCCGCGGGAGTACCGCGCGCGGATGTTTTTCCTCGAGCCATGTCACACCAAAAGTTCGCACCCGTGGCGGGAGTTTTGAGATGATTTCATTACAATTCGTTTTACCTGTTTAGTATGCCATGTAAATTTGCAGATTTTCTTAAGTAGTAAAGTGTTTAAGAAGCAATTAAATCTTAATTTATTTGTTAGGCCTAGTGTACTTTAACAAGTTTACTGTAGTTATTGTTTAAATTTAATTTAGACCTTGTGTTCGAAGTGCAAGCATATTAAATATGGTTGAGGATAAATTATATACTTCCAGTATTTTGAACGTTATATTTCGCTACACTACAAATATTTTTAAATTTTTAATTAAAAATATAAGACCATTTTAAAACTAATGTAATTATTTTGCTAAGCCTTCTATTGAAAGTTCAAGTTTACATTGATGGTACAGGTTTGGTTGTTGCAAATTTATACAGTTGATGAAACAATAAAACGTTGTTTAATACGCCGGCAATATAACAAATTTGATGGGGAACATTAAATTTTCACCGTAAACATAATTTTTGCATGGTAAACAAAAGTGTTTTTTCTGGTGATAAACATATTACGAAGGTAATACAAAACAACATATATCATCAAACAAAAGAAACATGTTGAATTTAATTTCAAACTGTATTACTTTTAAACTTGAAATAGCTTGGCCATTAGAGATGCCTATTTGCGCATGCGCTAGACAAAACTCCCGCCGCGGTACTCTCAAAAAGTCGCTCAGCAGGCGGACGTGGCGGACACTACCGCACGCCCGCGGGCGCGCGGTAGTGCGGTGTGACTTGGCACATTTGATAACATGGTGAGCGATTTTCCAAAGTTCGCTCCCGCCGCGGGAGCGAGCTCGGTGTGACTTGGCCTTAAAGCTGTGTACACTATACTATACGTACACTGTACAGTACAGTATTATAGTTTAATTATAAAGTTAAACTGAGCTTTGAGTCAATTTGTTTGAAATTTTAAAGTCAAATAAAATCAACTTTTAAAAGTCATCAAGCATTGCGTTCTCAAACGATTTGTTATTTTACTCTTTTTAACTAGTAACAATAATAAGTAATTTTATTTAACCAATTTTATGATAATTAAAAATTGGAATTGTAAGTTGCTGCTATTGATCTTTTTAATTGAAAATGTATTTGGAAAGTGTGTGTGTATGTGTATGTGTAAGTACAATAAATATGATTGAATATAATTGCTCTAGTCGTAGATTTACAAAGTAACGGAAAATGAAAATAGTGAAAGCTTATATTCTACCTGGAATAAAAAAAAACTGCAATAATAATATTTTATCTAATATCGATGATAGTTGAAATCATGAATAGCCCACTAAAATTATTGTAACACTCTGCACGAAAAATATTCTTACATTACCGGTATTCAAATTTTCATCATATTGGAGTTATTACAAATGTACAAATTATATCAGCCCCTTATGAAAACTTGCAGTTATGAAGGATGTACAACGCCAAATCGTAACTGTAATCACATAAAATTTACCGCTCTTTTACACAGTCTCTTAGTAGATTTCATAATCTCTGTCCGATAGTTCAAAAATACATATTGCCACTTTTCATTTGGCTATCAATTTATCATGATTTCTTACAGCAGGTTGAAGTTGGAAAAAAAATTCTGTTATAGCCAGTTTGTAAAAAGAAAACTTTTAATTAAAGATGTAAAACACTAGGGATGGTCCCGTTTTTCCTTGTGTTTATTCATGTTTACATGCTACCGGATAAAAATAGGGTCAGTTAAATTTTGTTTAAAAATTACTATCCAAAACCAAATTTACGTTTGATAAAAAATCCTTTCAAAATCAGTTTCAAAATCTCCATTACAAGAAATAGGCTTAGTAAATGCACTTCTGAATTTAAACTTATTTACAAACATCAACCATTGACTTATGCACTTATCTCCAGATATCCAGAAACACCCTGCGCCCTCCCCTGACGTAACCAGTGTGACCCTAGATCCCCAGGGACTTCAGGGACTCCAGGGACTGCAAGGGAAGCCAGACAGTTGTGTCGTCCAGCTTCAGCATGTCCCAGGGCCGGAGTCCCGCATTTGACATCACAGGTAAAAAAAAGTATTTTAATTAATTTGCATACTTTCTCAGTTTACAAATGATTCTTCGTCAAGTAAGCGTCTTCGATGTTTATAATACCCATGACTATTGCGTCTTCTCATGGCGACTTTGCCTGTTTTCATTCTTGCCTTAAAATAGTTTATGCTCTCTTTTCCCTAGGAATTTGGCAATTTAATACATTTAACTCTTCAAAAATTGTATTTTGGATGCAAAAACTGAGAACTTGTGGTACCTGATAGGTGATTCTACGTATCTCAGACATATTTGTTTCACGCACACTCTTATACAAAAATAAATAATCAAAACTTAAAATAAATCCTGTAATTTCAAATGTATAGTGTACGTTTTTGATCAACCATTCTACCCTATTTATAAAGCGAACTTCTAAGAATATGTTCTAAATTCACCCCTTCTATTTCCCATGCTTGCAATGTTCCAAGACGCCTATATTTTCACTACTAATCATAGCAGTAGCATTATTATTCTACCGACGGGTGAAGGTGGCAATGACAGCTTCCTAATCAACACAACAAGCAGTTAGTTGAGGAAGGACAGTTAAGTCGCCCCCTACTACTCCCACTAACTCCACGCGCTCTTGTTGCCTTTCCACTGCTTATGTAGTGAACAAACTTGATGAATTTAGAGGGAGTTACTATACAAAAGTTCCTTATGTTAACAAGATTGCAAGATTTTACGAAAGTGGTGTGAAGAAGATAGACGAAATAATCTTGAATGACTAATTTTATTTACACATGTAAAAGCCAGTAATACAACATCACTAAAAGAGTCTAAATAAACCACATTAGTTCTTACATGTTGCATTGTAGTCTTTAATGTGTAGTCAGATGACAAAGTGTGGTGTAAGAATGCTAATTATTCTCTCTCTACTCTCAGTCCAAGTTTCTTTCTTCTAGTTTGTTGTAAACGTTGTAATCTATTACGTGTAACTTGTAACAACCCAATACTGTCAGTGTCCTTGTTCCCAGGGATATCGCTTACACTGGGAAGTCTGCGGTAAACAATATTTGTTGTTTAGGAACAAGTTTTAAAAAGATCAATGAACTTTTGTACTCTTCTCGATCAAATAGTTAAAAACTATTGAAATTCAGCTGCGCTGTTAACAACTCATTCCTTTAATTTAAGTATAGGCAGGCGTGGAATGGATATTTTTAGCTGAATGTAATTGCAGGAAAAGTGTTATTACCTTTGTAGCTTTGTAACTGACGGTATTTAAGATCAGCAAACTATAAACTAGCTGCCATTCAGATTCAGCATAGTATCAAAGTATGTTTTCTCTACCGCTACAAAACATCTACATCGTGTCACCTCATCTAGGTGAAACCTCAGACACCTCATCCGCTGACAAAGTAGCCACTAAATGCGCTTGCTTTAGATTTACAATCAAGAATATTAATTTATTGTAAATTAGTTGTTTTATTTGTCAATAATGTATGAAACTAACATAATCGTTGAAGATGGTATTTTCGTTTTAATTTGCAAAGACCTTATTGCAATACACGAATTCGTGCACGTTGCCCTCGTAGTTATATAATCACTCTTGGTTAGAAACAAAAACTGTACCCTCATACTTATTTTTCAGTGTCATGAATCCACTGTTTGTGGATTTAATATTTTAGTTCAAGATAATTCAATGGTTTTGTATTTGTTTTAAATTAAGTGATTTAACTCGTTTACACGCTTTTGTAATATAATTTTGACAGTTTTTATGAAAATATATTTTAGTCGTTATCTTCCCAATTTGTGTTGCATTTGCTTAACAAACACAGTGGTTATGGCCATATTCACCCAGCTGGTGATCCGGGACCCGGGTATAATAGATGCCAATGCCAGTGATGCCACTTAAACCGATGTTTAAACCAGAGTTGAAGCGCGCGTGCGCTACCGGAAGAAGGTGTTTCTATTGTTGAACATCCGGTTGTCAATTGAACGACAAAGGCAGGGCCGACTAGATTGTTGCCATTTAAGCAGGCACTCCCTTGGTGGAGAAGAAGGCAGGCTCGGCATGGTTATGTAGACTTTTGCCACAGTATAGATAAACATGGAGATAACGTATACATAATATAAATGCGCGTACCGGTATATATATAACATACTTATATACAAACATACTCCCGACATTGTAGTCCATTGAAACATTATCAACATTAAAACACATTATAACGGACTTAAAATTTTACAATTTTATTTTCAACCGAAAAAGGTTCTTCCATTATTGACCGTTAAGTCAAATATATCACAGAAAAAACTCACACTGCAAATTCGTTTTAATAGCAATATAGAGTAGAAATGTTCTTAATGTATACATCTTTGTGCTTTCTTATAATGGGGTGATGTGAAAGTAACAACAACTTTTCTTATTTAATTAATTTTTTTTAGAAGTTAACAATTGCATGTAATCAATGGATAAACTCTATGAAAAATACTGTTAATATGTATTTTATCGAATTATAAAATGTTAAATGATTCTGCTTATTGGTTGGCTTGCTTATTATAATAATCCCTTACATCGGAGTATTAACTTTACATACTTTTACAATAAATAAATACAAAATTGATCTGTAACCAATTTAATATACCCCACCGCAGCGAACCCAAGCGAATTTCCATTTGCCTGATTTTATTTTCAATTAAATTTAATTCAATAGCATTAGGTTTAACGAGTACCTAGGTTTGCTGCTACAGGGAAGGTAATAACGTGTGTTTATTTAGTAAAAGTTTAATAGCTAAGTATAAAATAAATAATTTGCCAAGTGTGATCAAAATATATCCAAACAAATAAACAAATTACAAAAGTTTACTTATTGTCCATAACAATAACATGAGAAAGTTTTATCCGTACTAATAACTGTACAAAAACACTTCAACAATCAATATACTAATAAATTATTTGTTTTTAAGCACTTCAAAATGGTTTGGAGAGAAGTTGAGAAATTTTATGTTTTAAAGGGTCCAAAATGAGAAACCCCAATTTTTATCCCGTAAATAACTCCGTTCCCATGGTCCGATTACGCTGGTTCGCGAAGGTTTAGATGTATATACCAAAATTTCATCAAAATCGGATCATTTTTGCTGGAATCATTGTGATAACGGAAATATATACTGTCTATCAAATATATGCATGAATTTGAGTGGATAGTGTTTTTGGCCTCTTGGGACGTCAAAACGAAAAAGCAAATCGGTCCCGGGCGCAAGTCTTACCATGAGACCTACGGTAATAGCTACTTCACTATAGGGAAATTCGCTAAAACTAGGAAAACCCATGTGATGAAACTGTCGGTAAAAAGAAAACACACCGTTTCTACTCAGATTCCCGTTTTTGATGATTACATTTTTTATAATTCTTACAGTTATTTGCTATTCATTAAATACAACACGAACAATGCTTCAAAATACTTTTTTTCATAACCTTGTTCTCGGTGATAAAAAAAACGTTTTTGGTGGTACAAAAAGGATGAAAATAGTGTAAAATTCTGAATTTAATTTAATAAAAAATGTCAAAATCAGAGAACAAATAGGTGTGTCAAATTAGTAGTTCCTTTAAGTTTCATAGATTTAAAAACAAATAACAGCTAAAATCGGTTACAAAAACACATAAACATAGCGAATATTTTCATTCAACCCCCCCCCACTCCTCATCCTGATGACCTTGAATAAATCTGGTTCCTTTCCAAGGTCAGGTCCTTCACCCAAAGCCCGTCCCACAAGACAATACTCCCATTTACAATGAGCCGGTGAGAGGACTACAATGTTGCTGAATAATTTGTGAGTTTTATCATATTTAATAGGTTATTTGTGAATGATTGTTATTTCATTTTTATCATTAAGCTGTTGATTTCGCCTTGTTGTTCTATAAGTTAAATTCTGAGTTGAATTTATTTCTTATAAAACATTATATTCTTACTAAACATCATATTGATAATGTTTTATGTAACATCAGGCCCTATAAATCCTCCTAGTTTAAGTTATAGTTATGATCCTAATTAAAGTTACTTTAGAGGAATGTATTGAGAAACAATTTCTTTGATGTATTTACATTTTGACAAATATTTAGCTTGCTGCCAGATGTTAGGTATACGAGATTCTAAATTGCTTCAGGTTTTACTAATAATTTCACTTCCAGTAGCTTTAGTTTAAATGGAATTTTTCAATTACGCCTCTGGTGTTTTATGGAATTTATTGGTTCTACAAAGTACAGTTTGTTGTGTTAGAGTAGTCATGGGGAATTTCAGTTACCGTGGTAAGAAATTTTATATATGAGCAAAATAATTTGACTGAACTGTTTTTATTCATCCTGCTCTCTTACAATAGTCCAGTATATAAATAACAGACCCAGCATGATTAATTGTTGGTTACAATCGATATTATTTATTGTTTATTATTTATATTTATATTATTTATCGAATTGTGGATATTTATAGGCATGTAGTGAGGATGTGATACTCCCTGGTGTGGATTAACGTCCGCACTAGTGAGTACTACGACTATCCGCAGTACTATCCTGATAATTAAACCAATTCGTATATACCAAGGCAAAAATTTGGTTCGGATTCCACTATAAACTGTAGGTCCCTTAGTTGCCATTAGCTGTATGGGCTATTAATTAACAGCTGTATCTAATGAATGTCGGCCTTAGTCACTAACAAGACTACAAGATCGCACCACTCATCCTACACTCATCTCCATTCATACTTGGCTTAAAATACCTACTTTGTATTGTCGCCATTTCAAGTATTAACAGTATTATTTGTTCAAAAATATTACTAGACGTTAAGCCTGTTTCCAAAGTATTTTTTTCAAATCTCCCTTGGAAAATGTTTTGTATTTAAAGTAAAATTAATTGTAGGCTATGCTTGGAATACTTCCCTTTTCATTTTTAGGGAGTACACATTTTAAAACATGTTTTTGTTATGTTAAAACACATTTTTTACCGTGAATATATTTCTAATTGTTATCTCAAATCACTAACACATAATCACAGTACAAACTAGTAATCAATCAGGAATCACAAGGAAATCTAGGTTATGTTTCCTCTAAACATGATATACCAGTTTCCGGCGCGGTTTGCCAACTTCCGGTCGTAGTCAGCTGATCGTTGATCAGCTGTTTCCTTATCACACCTGTTAGGTTGGTAGTAGTGGGTGCAGCTTGATAAACAGCTGCGAATTTGTCTGTGCAAACGGAGATAGATTCATTCTGTGAGCGGCTTTACTTCGTGTAAGTGTAAGTACGCGTAACATTTATGCTAAACATTTATGTAAATTGTAGTTCTTATCTATATGAGAAATACTTGAGTACCTTTCTTGTGGTTATGATCAGTTCGCCTTTTGAAACTTAAGTTACGATAAATATTTGTGTTTTCTCAAAACAAATACAATGCAATCAAATATTTAAAATTTAACAACAGTACAGCGCGGAATTTACTATACTGAAAGGATTATTATTAATTTATTTACAGATTTTATATTAATTTTAGTTATTTGCTTGATTTGATTCTTAATTTTTCTTTTTGTTGTATAATGTAGAGAGTTATATTTTTTTGTTATTTTTATTGAGATAACTAGTTTTGGTAGAAAAATTGTTTAAATTTACATAAATATTTCTCATTTGTGTTACATCTTAAATGTCTACCTACATACTTTTGTAATTTTCCACAAATTTAGGTATATATTTAAAATGTGCGTAGCATACATTTATTTGAATTGCTATATTACGTTCTTGAAAGCAATATGGAATAGCAATAGATCTTCCTCTTTGTCCGGTATACAATTTAGACCTATCGTAATAACTTCCTGATTCGTCACATCTGTTAAACATTCACTACCAGGTGACACAAGGCGCTTTATGTAGAGGATCTTATCTTGATAACCGTCAGACAATGTGTTAGTTTGTTGCCGATCATTGTTATAAGGTCACAACAATTTCCCTTCGTAATTTCTTAGTTATTTTTATATAATTTCTAACCTTTGATCTTGATAATTGATAATTGAAATGATATTGAGTAGGGGAAAAATCTACAATATTTGCATTCTGATCGCGGCTAGTTGTGTGATTAGAGCACAACATTTATATCCAGTAGATCCGGGTCCAAATCTCCCTATTTGCCAAAAGCTTGTAGCTATATAATAATGTTGAGCTTAATTTAGCTGTAACTCCACCAATTTAAAAACCAAGGAAATGCGAACTAGTTCCCTAACCCTAAAAGTCAAGTTTTTGTCTTTAAAAACCAATAGTTCATTAATCCGATTTCTCTATTAACGGTCACCCATAAAAAAGAAGAAGAAAATAACTGATAAGGGTTGGAGTAAAGAGCGAGTAGGCCTATAATTTTTCCTGTTTTCGAAACATCTCTACATAAAGCCATATGATAATCAATAGTATTTGAAAATTATTATTCTCTTCATTCATTTCTTTTTGTGTGGACATATTCAACAAGTTTACCTACTAAAAGATTATTTGGTTTACCAATCTAGACATTTTAACATTCACTAATTCTTGTTAAGCTTTAGTTATTCCGGCGTTGATTTAATCCCACAAACTTTGTTGACGATTCCTCTCCAGTGATGCGGTACCTTCTCTGACCGTTTATCTAGATTCAATCCAAAGTAATTAATAATCTTCTTCATACTTTAAATACATCTTGTCAGTCAGTGGAACACCATTAGTACTAAACTCCTTTGACAAGCCTCAAGTCCAAAGTATTCATCACTACTACATAGTACATAGTACACACTAGTACTTGTGAGGAAGTTCCTCCAGAGCACTAGGCCTTATCAAGGGTGGTAAGGGTCGATAAGTGAAAGACTCTGGGTATCTCAAACTTCCATTTTATTCCCTGATATCCTTATCCTAACACATATGTTTATATATACAATATTATATACAGTCTTGATCCTGGGTCCGTAGTCCTCCTACCAGGCAGTGTCTCCGGGCTCGTATTCAGGGGTTGGGCAGAGGTTGGATCAAGTCTTGCTTGCGCCCTTACTGGCCCGGTGGTCTACGACACTCCTAAAAGATATCCGTGTGGGTCCGCGGTCTAGATCCTTGGCACATTCACCCCGGAATCCTCGGTCCCCTAGCTGCTGCTCTCCACTGGAGACGGTTCTGGCTTTCCAAGCACAGAAGTCAAGCTGGGCCGGTTTAATGTGCTACTGCTCTCCACTGGAGACGGTTCTGGCGTCACTTGCTCAGAAGTTAGCACTCTCTAGGCAGTCTACTCGGTCTGCAGTCCGACGTAAACTCCTTCAACACTTAGCGTATACCTATGTATATGCTTTAAAGGTGGTGGGGGACTCCAAAGTCCTCCACCTACGACTACGGACCCGCGGGCTCAACACGCCCATGCGAGGGTGTCGGTGGCTCAACACGCCCGTCCGACAGTGCTGGTGGCTCAACACGCCCGTCCAGCGGTACCCGTGGCTCAACACGCCCGTCAGGTAGCTCGCGGGCTCAACACGCCCATGCGAGGGTGTCGGTGGCTCAACACGCCCGTCCGACGGTGCCGGGGGCTCAACACGCCCGTCCAGCGTACCCGGGGCTCAGCACGCCCATCAGGTGTCTCGCGGGCTCAACACGCCCATGCGAGGGTGTCGGGGGCTCAACACGCCCGTCCGACGGTGCCCGGGGCTCAACACGCCCATCAGGCCCCACACCGGTGGCTCAGCACGCCCATCCGGCGGGGTCGGGCCCGGAGGCCCAACTGACTTCTCGGTGCCAAACACCCTGGTTAAGTACCCGCCGAATGGTACCCAAGTGGTGGGGGTGAGTACCTTACCTCCCCTTCGGAGCATCTTTCCCCTCCTTTGGAGTCATTTTGATGTCTCCGAGTACCTCTGTATCTTTAACCTAAAAATTCTCTTGGGAGTCAAAAACACTTCTTTACATACTAGTACATTGGTTTACTTGTGAAGCATTAACTGTACAGTATTTCTTATGTGATATCACATATCAGTTTAGCTGTACAGTATTTCTAACGCGATATCTCATATCAGTTTGTACGCACACACCTTCAGCTAACATGAGATTACTCCCACACGAACCTCAAGGTCGTTGTCTTAGATAACACAGCAGAACTGTTATCATTGCTAACCCTGCCGAGGCACAGTTAAGGTAATGCCGTTTTGTATAGTCAATGTTCGTATGTTCTTTAATTTTTCTTCTCATGTCCATTCGGTTCTGTATGTTAACAATTAATTTTGTTAGGAAAGTTCGTACAAACTACACGAGTAAACCAGTTACAAGTAGGTTCAATAATGATGCAGCTCTTTTCATATTCACATTTTCCACTTTTTGTTATTGTCGGGAATTTCATATTAACTACCTACTTATGTAATATCATTGAGTATAGACTGCGTAATTTGTTTTCCATGGGAAATGTAATTTTTATATTCAATTTTATTTTATTTTGTTATGTTGTTATTACAACTGTAGCGAGTGAATTAACTAGATAAGTAGTACTTTTATCAGATCTAGGGAATCCGTTAGTAATCTGTTCTATCATGTTACCACGATTACTAGAAAAATACCGGCATGGATCATAAACATAAACAAATGACGTTTTTGGCCCGAAAATAAACACTATTTAACATTGCTTAAATGGAACTGCCAAAACATATGTTCAATGCTGTTAGTACAGGATTCGAGCCAACAACGTCATTTGTTTATGTTTATGATCCATACCGGTATTTTTCTAGTATTCGTGCATGTTACGGTATTATGTTATTCGTTATGGGTACAATTGCAGTATGGGGATGAACATGAACTCCTTACGTAAATAATACTTGTGTATTTATGTACGTTTACATTTATTTTCATGTAGGCTACATTTATTTTACAAGTTTTGTAACTGGAGAGAATTTATATGAACTACTTGAATTGGATTTCTCTTTATCTTTATTTGTTCAATATTTTTTTATCTTGTGCAAAACTGTGTACTGAATAATACTACCGGGTTCTTCAGAAAGGACCATTTATGAAAGCCGTTGATGGCGACGTGTAAGAAAACAGTAGTACGCGCTTTGTATTCAATATTTCAATCTTAATAAATTTGGTTAATTCTAAATCGGCATACAGCATTAAAATGTAGCGCAACAGTCACTCAATAGTCAAAGCTAAACCACGTCTTGCTAAATGTATGACATACACCATCAACTGTAATTCCATCCGAATTCTACAACACTATCTTAGGTATAATTTGACTTATATTTATTTCAAAACAAACATTTTCTGTTTCAGAGGGCGGTGATGCCACAACCTGAGCTCAAGCCTAAGTGTACTTATGTAAATATGTAGATGAACGGGTTTTGTGTGCGCGTGCGCGAAGAACCAGTCAGCGACGACGATCTAGTGGCAGTGGTCGCGATGCGTCGACGCAATCAAAGTGGCAGTGTCAGTGCGTGAAGTGAGGTTATGTTACATGCGATACCGTGACGACAACAATTAAACAATGAGTCAGGCCAGCCAAGTGACAGTTGAGCCTGTGGACGCGGCGCCGACCGCAACCATAGAGGAAGACGACTTTCGTTACTTCGAGGAAGCTGAGGAAATTGAGGATTCTCACAGTGAACAAGAAGAAGAAGCGATGACAGTGGAACCACCGTTAGTTCGAGTGGCGACGTGTGGATCGACCATCAGCCATCTCAAACATGACTACAGGTTGGTGAAATGTAGAATATTTGTGTTTTAAATGTTACCAAGTATGGCTTTTAGTGGTACTCAGTTACAGGGAAACTAATAATTAACTAATAATGTGTAACCAGGATTCAATACCAAGTTTTGGATTTCTGATTGAATTAAATAATTTTTTGTCAGAACAAAAACAATGCATAGAAGTTCTAGTAACTTCAATAATAAAGAATAACTTTATAATTTTTTGGTAAACTTTTATACTACTGGGATTTTAAAGAAATCGAAAGATTGAAAAATGCATGAGCTTTATAAGCAAACAGCCTACTTAGCATGGATACAATAGTTTTATTGTAAGACCTTGAGACATTTTTAATATCTCTCGGTAAAAGCATCAATGGTAGAATAATTTACTATTACATTTTTTAAGCTAACGACAAAAGATTATTATTGGATAGGGTGACAATTTTTAAGTCTAAAAGTAACATTACGACGTTTAAAATATATTAATACGTTCCTTAATTTACCTTCAAGTAACAGAATCCAAATACAAACGTATATTGCATAATTAGAAGACAAACTCAACTTATTGAGTCATAATGTAAAAAAATTCTTTACCTACATATAGGCAATTAATTTAAATCACACAGTTAAAGAGCGATTTAACCATTTTTAAGTTATGTGTTTAATGTCAATTCTAGTAGCTTATATTTCAAGTAAATGGCAATAGTATGAACATATTTTAAAGGCAAGTTTAATATTCGTAGAGTTTTAGAAAATATTTATTTTTAAACTCGAACCATAATTACAATATTTTATTACTTTTTATAAACAAGCATTTAAATTGACTTAAGCAAATTGTTTAATTAAATAATTTTATTGGAATCCTACACAAAAATAAAATTCGCAAAACAATATTGCAAGCGTTTCAAGAATTGTAAGGCGCTAGAACGCAATTCAGATACAAGGGGTCTGCAGCTGTTTTGCCTGTATTTTTTGGTCAGGCGCTAAAACGCAGAATAGAACACCTGTTTTATGTATTTCTCGCCGTACTGCAGCAAAATCAGCTGTTTTCGTTGCAATCGTTGCGAATGTACTACTCTTTACTTACTCTTGTTTGACTCTTTAATATGTGGTTAAACTTGAGCACCGGTCGAAAAAGAGTCACTTTACGCCCCAGTGATGAAAATACTATCTTGTAGTAGATAACAGTAACTTTGATTAAATTCAAAAGAGACTATTATAAACAGAAGAGGAGCAACAATATAAACATGTTTATTTGCATGTTTTACTGCATCTTTATATCTGATCGAAATTATCGGCGATTAAATAAGAATAATACGAATAATATAATTTCACTTAAATGTTGAAGGTAGGTACTGTTTTAATGAATCACTTGTTTTTGTTTCATACAATAATTTCAACAAACCATTTACTATGTCAACAATATTTTGAGATACTCCCTTTCAGTCAAACAAATCAAATCTTTAATCTTTGTTACTTCGGACACAGCTAATCTTTTATTTATTATCAGATTAATATTTAAATTAGATGCATAATAACAAATGTATACTTGTAAAATCACTACAACAAAGATCAACAGCAAATATTCATACAGTTTTTATACGACGATTACTTTTTACACAGTTGTATTTTTTAGGTTACTTAAAAGTAATGTTCCAATCCCTGGTCTTGTTAATATCTAACGTAGATGTTTTGTTATGTTACATAATTATTTAATAGTTCAACGATAAACGTGCCAAAATATCTTAGAAAATGTGACTGTGGATAGTAATCCAATAACAGGAGATAGAAATAATTTAAAGCCAAAGTGATGATTGGCAGAACTAACTAACTATTAACGAAGTATCTGAAAATCGCGAATTCAATCAAACAATATGAACTTTGTATAGAAAACTATCAATGAATAAATTGTGGAAAAAAGTTATGCGCCACAGTTTGTCAAAACTAATAAATATTGTTCGTTAAGTAATCTCTGACAAATAAAATATCGACATGTTATCAGACACAGAAACAACATTCGGTGGAAATTATCTCATCTGCCTTCAGCAATGCTGCAGCAATTCGCACAGCATCAAAGCATTGTTTCTATCACGTACAGAGCTGAAGGCATTGACTTGTCTGTGAAAATGCTGTTTTATATTCTTCGGCTTGGTAAAGTTATATTTATGTTGCTCAAAGAATATTTGTCATTACTGAATTTGAAACTCATTTTTCATAACATTTCGGGATCTGGAATATGATCCCTTCTTCAGGTATAAAGTTGACTATAAAATAACAAGATAAATACACAAACAAAGCAAAGCCAGAAACATAATAACGGGAAATAAAAAATATTTACCTCAGTTAAATAATAAAAGGAAAATAGAAAATTGTAAAATAACAAATAAAAAATTTTACACCATCTTAAAAAGACAAACAATTTTGTAACAAACATTAGCCTATTGTTATTCTCCTCCTATTCGTTAGCGAGGTACCATTTAAAAAGGCTTAAAATGAAGTACATTATCTCCTAAAAAAATTGAAACATAAATCAATTGCTTTAGAATACTTGTTTATGGGTGCAGCCAAAAAGTCGTTAGACAGACAGTGTCTTTATTTGCTGTGTGCTTTGAAAACTACAAAAATATTTCTTCTTGCAGTATACTAATCTTATAAACTTGTTGGGCCATTTCTGTTTTATGCTAACTCTACTTAACAACTAGAAATTCGCTTATCTGCAATTATGTTGCAACAGTGTAATTTTCTATTTAACGTGTATTGGCTTCATTTTCATTCATATTGTATATAAAGGAAAATACTAGATGTAATTACCTTTCTGTAATTGATCAATTAAGGGTAGTAATTGCTCAGTTAATTGTAAGGATAGTTACAAGTAATTATCTTATCAATTTCCTTGCCACTTTGTAATGGATAGAACACAATTATCGGCAAAACAGTGATTGAAGAAACTTGTTTTGCCAATCAAACCAATGATAGCGACTGTTAGCAGTCCTGCATAAATTATTGGAACTAAAACGTAATGGATTGGTTTTTAAAAAAATGTTTGTCTATTGCAACCTTAATTGTCACGGACCAATAGTTTTAGTTTTTATTTTAATATACTAATTAAAATATTGTCTCTCCATACTCTAGTATTTTTTATTTTAACTTATATTTTTATATATTATTTATAAAACGTATTCTAATGATTTAGTCTTGAAGTTTTGCAAATTCTTGTGAATTTAATAAGGAAGTCTCTCACACCTTACTAAGTTGAATTAAAATGTGAAAATATATAAGACAGGTTTTCTTGGTTATACCATACAAGGCAATGGTAATAGTAATAGTAAAGCAAAAGTCTTTTAGAGTTAAATATTTATGTTCTTCACGGATACCGCAAGGTGACTTATCCTCATGACAAAAGTCTGCAATTTCTCGTTACTTCTCAGTGTTCTGTTGATTAAAAATTGTTAGACAACTTTCACAGTTTATTGTATGTGTCTGTGTGACTAGGTATACTTCAATATAACTTTTGTTTTCAAACAATCCAAAGCTTTGAAGTTTATTTTTGGTTATGTTATTGATTTTACATTTACTTTATGTTTTTTGGGGAGTGATTACGGCCTTTTTCAGTCACGATCAGTAAACGAAATATTTAAAAGTTGTTTTACAAGTCGGTACTGTATTAATAATTATCTATAGGCAACGCCATAACCTACATCAATTCAAATACCACTTCTTATTCAGTCATTCTGCCAACTCTGCTACCTACTAACAGCTGTTTTACTTTGCCAATAAGTGAATTTATAGCTGTATTATCAACAACACACACACGCACACTGACAAAGTGCAACCTACACAAAACCGATAACCTTTCGCATTCCAAGTCCAATGTTCAACAGATCAGCTGTTTTAGCTTGGTTTAGTATCAGCTGTTTGTTTAATAGTTTGTTAGTAACAGCTGTTTAGTGCAGTTTTGTTCCTATTGTTATGACACAAAAGAGTGAGTCAGTTAGTTTAACAGTGGAAGTCAAGAACAAGAAAAATGGGAAAGAGAGGCGTTCTAGGTCTAGGTCACGTTCGAGAAGCAGGTAAATTTTATTTTTCATTACTCTACACACGAAAGTACACTTTCTAAACGTAAAATGAGATAAGAAAATAGGTAATTCCCGCTACTGCACGGAAAAGTTACATAACGTTAACTTTCCGTGCGTATGTACTGCACGGAAAGTAACCGCTATGGGATTTTGCGGTGCAGTCAGATCAGCTGATTGTATTGTTGTTGAAAACACATTCCTCGCTTATATATTGACATTGTCAGTTAGGTTATGTTTGTTGAGATAGATTCTTTGAACTATGTGTACTAATATGGATAATATTCCTGAAACTTTGATGAACAGAGCGGTAAGTGTAACAAACGAATTATTGCCTGATGTGTCGCGTTTAAGATACGAAAATGAATACGATAAGCTTTGTACTTGGTGTCAAAAAGAAAACATTAAACCTAGCCAGGTTAATGATGACATACTTCTAGTCTATATGTCAGAACTGTCGAAAACTATGAAACCTAGCACCTTGTGGAGCAAGTATTCAATGGTTAAAAATGTCTTAAAAGTAAAAGAAAATCTTGGAAATTTAAAATTTCCAAAAACAGTTGCATTTTTAAAGAAAAAGTCTGTTGGTTTCAAACCTAAAAAAGCGAATGTTTTTACATCTGATCAAATTTCTCAGTTCATGATCAACGCTCCCGACAAAGAATGGTTGTTAAGTAAAGTAATTTTGACGTTTGGCATTTTTGGAGCCCTTAGGCGAGATGATCTATTACGCCTTAGCATAAATGACGTAAAAGATTATGGCAGTTTCATTAAGGTTACATTGAGAGATGGTAAAACACATGCTAGCAGAAGTTTCATCATTACAGACGATGAATGTACGTATCAACCCTGCCAGCTAGTACGTAAATATTTGTCTTTACGCCCATCAAAAATGACGAGCCCTAGACTTTTTGTTGGCTTCAGGCAAGGCAA